TCTGAATTTAACATTTTATGGATGTAACTCAATATCACGATAAGATCTATAGCGTCAAATAGCATATATTTGTTTTGACGTACTATTTGAAAAAGAATGCACACGATAATTACTTTAGGAAAAGGATTGGTAGAATCAATAGTAGTAAAACGATTTGCGTACGATATGTGTACGTGCTCTAAGCCCCTTAACGCAGACTATAATCTGCTTATTCACATTAAGAATTAAGTCAACGCAAAAGCTACAATCATTTAATACTATCATAGAAGTATAATAATTGTTTTTTCCTCTATACTTAGTTTACTATAAAGAATAAATATAAAGATGTATTAGTATAAAGAATTATCATGGTATACAATTGTTGGGTACTATAACATCTATGGTTACTTATGCAAAATATTCAATATTGCGATTATATTATTGATTCTACATACTGTACGAGTTCATAATATACACACAATTTGACAGTTGCAAATTATGTACTAAATAAAAACTCTTTTTCAATTGTCATTTTGCTGTTTTGTTGCAATTACCATTGTCAATTGTCATATGTCAAACAAGTTCTGTTCTTTATTATGATATACCGCGTGCAAATATTGATGATATACAATAATATATGACAGCGATACAATTATATATACATATAAAATACTTGTTCAAAGGGACTGATAATTGATCAAGTAAGCTTTAACAGCTGATCCTAAAGAGCTGCAACTTGAGTTTTTTTCGAGTGATGTAGGTATTGAACAATAACGTTTTATGAATCTTGATCGTAATTTTGTTTAAAAAGGGGTTTGTGTGGATGTAAACTACTTATAATAAAAAGTTAATGAAGGCGTGTTATAAACTATATTGCAATTAATTTTCTAACATTAAATACGAGTACAAAGTAAAATGAATAATGCGGGTAACACCGCGTGGCATTCCTAGTATAAACATAAAAGTTTTGATTAGAGACAATCGCTTGACGTCAGTTTTATGTAAAGCTGTTGCATAACTGTGTTTATTGGCACCAAACGAAGACCTATCAAGGACGTTACAACATAGTGCAGATTTTAACTCTTGCAGTCTAAATTAAAGATTTTAATGAGAATTATTTATCTAAGTTAGTCATATATACATGTCATGCCTTGCGCCATTAGTTTTTGGATTCAAGAATGGGAAGAATACTGTATATCGGTCAGGCAGGGCACATTCAGTGCTTATCTACTCCAACTGAGGTTGCCCATTTGGAGCATATAGAGTAAACACATTTCTGTATCCGTTTAGTGAAACAGTAGTAAATAAATGATTAGTGGACATTTTTATTTATCTGTTAGTAGTTGGTCACACTGCCATGTAAATATTTATTACGTTTTGTCGTGATATGAATCGAATACTATTCGCGCTTAACACAATTCTAGAAAGAGAGTGTGCTGTTCAATTAAATAAACCTAAACTAATTAAATGATATTCTGAAAACATTCATCTATAATTAATAATAATTAAAATATAAAGAAATTGTTTTAATTATACAGTCAAATCATTAGACACAGGTGTTTTTTTAAACATTTAACATATCAATTTACATTGATATGTTCTTAACAAATAACTTTTTTTCAGCACTTTCGATTCATTAACAGCTAATTATGTAAATTAGCCTTATTATAAAATTATGTTAAATAGTTCTATCGGCATTCAAAATATTACATATTATTTCAGAATTGAATTACATATTGATTCTTGCTTGTTTTTTTTTTAAATGTAATTTTAACTTTTTTGAAGATTTAGAATTGAATATGATATGATAGTAATTATTAATCGATGTTTCATAGTTTATTTATTTCGCGTGCATTTCAAGTAAAATAAAATAACAATTGGAAACATGACACATGGTCTGCACTATCTCGTCATTGTACGGAATCCCACAAAATAAGACACAACACGATTGATATGAAATAAATTAATTTATTTAACATAGTACTTTTACAGTCGAAATAATTATGATGTATGTCGAGGCGAGCTGTTAAATTTTTCAACACACATTCACACGAGTAAACTTCACTTTTTAATTGCATAAACACGCACATTCTCTTGACCTCCTTAACCACTGCACTCGGAACAACCCCGGGTTATACATAGACTGGACCATTTTATCCAAGGTCGGGTTACTGGTAGTAGCGACTGCAGTACTACAAAAATTTGCTCTTCGACAAACATCTGGGATCTGTGAAAGTTTGTATGGAAATTCGTTGTTTTTGAAGCTAGAACAATAAAACTATCTTTTTTGGCTTTTTGGGAATGGGAGTGGGAGTGAGAGTGAGAGTGGGAGTTAGAGTAGGAGTGATGTGAGGTGAGACTGTTGCGGCAAAGTAGCACTTACAACATAGATTGGCTGCGATAAATGCGCAATTACATAAATTAATAAACAGCCTAAATAATTAAACATTCTACCCCAGGTCACTATTCCACGCAAACGAAGTCGCGGGCACAGCTAGTATGCTATAAAATACACCTATCATCAAGCGAGCCCCATGCTTTTCTGTCCTCTTAAAACACTTAAACGGTAAATCTAAAATGTTAAAGGTATTTTGTAATGACAAAGCGACATGGTGTCTTGTGTCTAATTTTCCTACAAAACTATCAAGAAGTAAGAAAGTATTTCCAAAAAAATTCTTATAATTAGTATATAGGTGGCACTTGAAAAATCAATAGGTACTAATAATTAAAACTTTCTTTTATTCTAGAATATCTAATCTTATGAAATATTCTAAGTTTTTCTTTTTATCATTTTAAGTCTTTGACGAGTTTCTAGGTTCAGGAGCGCGTTTTAAACACGTGGGTCGTGGATTCAATGAATCAATATTCTTAAAAAATATGATATTTTTTTTTATTTTTATGTTTAGATACTTGTAAAAAAAGGCTCGTGTGCACATGTGAAAGTGTGTTGGCTTTATTTTTTCCTTCCAAATTTGTTCAATATTAATATTAAACATTTCAGAATCTCCCCTTTTACTTAGAAAGAGACTTTTACATTACATTACAGTTGTTTGTTTCTAATTATTACTGTACGAGTATTATGTTGTATTTATTACTATATGTGTGTTGTTATACTGTCAGTTCTGTTGTTCCTTCTAAATACTTGTTTGGCGATTTATATATAAATATATATATTAAAATATAAATTTTTATTATACTGTATACAGTATAATAAAAATTGAGATCTTTTTTTGCATTGCTAATAAACATATTGAAATTCTCTTTGTGTGCCCTCGAGTTCCGCTTACTTCTCCAGGCTCAACCATGCCGTCATTCCCATAGGACATTCCGATAGATACACTGTTTCTTGTACTCGTCGACAATAATTCAATATATTTGCACATGTGAAAGTTATGAATCCGATATATTTGCACATGTGAAACTTATGAATTCGATATATTTGCACATGTGAAAATTATGAATATTGCAACCCGCATTTTCCGTTATAAAACATGCATAGAACGTGTCGTGGTATTGTTCGATGCATCAATAGCTATTCTCGTGAAGCCAATCGGGTCGGAAGGCGATGAAACGATGTGCCCCACAAATAGCACTCGTCTGTCTTGTTCAAATATTAAATCAATGTTCATTTGCGATTCCGGGTCTCATTCGTGTTTGTATTAATCAGGGTGCTTACTTTGTTTCGTTCTTATTGAAACATTTAGATTCACTTCTATCAATCAAGTTTTGCACGCCGCCAGACTCCAATAACATTAACACTAGATTTGGCTGTGACTTCGTGCGCGTAGAATAATTATTTTGGACATTAAAATGTGTTTTGCATGATTCGGCTACAAACAAACAAACTTTTTAGCTAGTTAGTTTAAAAATGTAATAAGTCTGCTATCTGTACAATTGTCTTATTCGTATTATAACAGTTTTATTATTCCGTTATCAATATTAAAACTAATTGTGTGTTGTGTCAATCCCATGTCTGCTTCACTGCTGATTAATAGAATTGTACGTACTCTGCCTTATCTGTAACACTTAATTGTTTCTTCGAGATGAAAGACCAGGACTTTTCATGCATAACTAAACAGATTATAATGTGTATATCGCACTTCGTGTCATGTTTTATTGTTAAAATTATTTAATAAATTACATTTCAAACGTCAGGTCGTACTTAAAAATGAGTGAACATAAATTGTTTTATTTAAATTGTAGTAAATGTAAACATCAGTTTATTCATTTCTTTTTAAACTAATGAATACAGGACATCGTTGTCGTGGCTATTATTTTTGTTTATTTAATTTTATACGCTTATATAAATGTCATATGTATACTTTGCCTGCTTATAAATAGTATCAAGCAGTTTTTAATATTAAACCAACTTTTTTCTCATTCAAATCCAACCTGTGTTCAGTTATCGATCGGTTGGTTAAATGGGAAAGAACTTACAAAAGCTTTTGTATAAAAACGACTACAGTATAGATATGCTCAGTTGGATAATAAATGTTAGACTGAAATTTTATTCTAGAAATATCTGGCTGAGTTTGGTGGTCGTGGTCGAATCGATACAGTCTACATTCCGTTTTCAGACTGACTGGCGACAGGAATTCTGTGCTTGCATACCGGTGCAATTAGTCTAAATGTATAAGACTTAATGTAGAACTTTGATTTACGTATATGATTGCAATGACTAGTTCATACAATAATTTTCCTATAAAACGTTGCAAAATGTTGAAATATTGAGCTCTTTATACTACTTGGCACTTAATATTACTTCGCAAAGAAAGAGTCTGCTACTACGCTAAGCTAAATTACATAAAAAACCGATAAATCATTAAAAAATATTTGATTATAGATCAGTAACAAGAAGCCTTTATAAAGCATTCGATCATCAATGTGAAAATGTAAATACCTGGGTCCCAAACGAAATCTAATATACAAGTTCAAGTGTCGCCACAAGACTGATAAAGCTTGAAATGATACAGCCGAGCTGAAACAAGCGCTATGATCGCTACTAGCGGGCTCTCGCCAACATGGCCGACGAAGAAGAAAATCTGCCGATACCTCCCACTTTTCTCGAGAAACTGCTCTTCTACACGACAGCGTCTTTCGTCCTCCTCGCGATCTTCAGCCTCTTCGCCTTCCTCTTCTTAGTACCCTTCGTGATAGAACCGGCCTTCACAACTATATTCATGCAGTTCGATCCAGTCAGTGCGCAGTGTGTGACGGCTGAAGTCAAACAGTTATTCGGCGTCAGCAATTGCTCCTGGGCCTCATGCCGGGAGGGCTGCACCAAAGACCTCTTCGAGTGCACCCAAATCAGAGTCAATTACAAACTCGGTTACGCCCCAAATATTTCAGCAACCGAGTACGAGGCGCTCATAAGAGCCGAGAGATCGCTCAGAAAAGATTACGACTACGAAAACTACGAATCGCCCCTGGATAAACTCGATCCAGAGATGGAGGATCAGGAACTGGCTGATGTGATGCCTACGGGGTTGCAAGGCAACGATTCCGAATGGTACTTCACTGGGGCCAGGCTGTTCCCAAATGTGAAGGGATGCGGGTATCCGCCAATTTTAAACTGTACAGTTTTTTACGGGAAGTATAGGCCGATCGGCAACAATTACACGTGCTATTACAGCCGGATCGATCCCGGGTTAGTCATCACGGAGCTGGATATGTGGCAAAACACGCTCAATTTAGTTTACGCCATGGCCATACCGATTCCATCCTTCATCATCTCGGTGATATATTTGACGTTTGCGTATTTCAAAATTTACAATACGGAAGATGAATCCGAACAGGCGCCTCTGCAGAGTGATGCGGAGGCCATGGCTACGGGAGACGATGGGAAGCCGACCACGCCTGGTTCAGACACCTTTAGAGAAGACTTGGCCTGCTTCGGGCATCAGTTGAAACTGCAACTGGCTAACGATAAGCCCAAAGAAGGTTTCGAGTCAAATAGTCCTCCAATTTCTAATTCGGCGTCACTATCTGGGTAATTATCTTTTAGTTCTAGTTATTTTTCACTATATATATTTTATATACTTTATCTAATAGGGGATGATATTTTAGCGAAAGACAATAGAATAATAATAATAATATAAACTATAAGTAGGTACTTCCTATTTGCGCTTTAAAATACTCTAAGTAGAAGTAATTAAAACAATATTCTAATGTTTTCCTCAGTTGTACAGTTGATTCTAGACCTGCATGCCTGTAGTCTTAAAGGTTCTTCGATTTGACCTGAAATTTCAAAATGACAATCAGCTGATTTATAGGAGATAAATTTTGAATAAATCTCTTCAACAGGACCAAATCGTCCTTCGTGAACGCCTAATGAAATGTCACCGAGGTATGGTGAATGCAAAATTTGCGCTTTTACGAAATTTGCTACTCGCAACTTTTCGCTGTATTTTATATTCAAATAGCACATTCACGTTATGAAGAACACAAGCCAGTAAGACCGATCGTTTCATCGTTCAAGAGCCTTTATTTTAATGATATTTTAGCAGATTTATGCAAGCGTGTATTTTTGAAGTTCAATTGGAAGCGGCATTTTATTTTCTTAAGCGCCAATTTATGAGTCTCTCTGGCGTTATTAAGCCCTGCTTGTTTATTAATAATTTCACTAATTAAACAATTTGCTACTTCTGCTTTTTAATTTTTGGAACGATGAATGGTTATTTATTTATTTTGTGTTATCTATCTTTCATATTCTATCAATTAGGTTTCGTCTATCGTTTGCTTCGTTCAGAATATCGTGCATGCTTATAATTTTGGATTAATGAAATATTGCGTTAAAATTCCACCACAAAGAGCACTTTGAAAACTTTGTTGAAATTTCCTTGTGCATATACCCTTGAGTGAAAATTATGTCACTGATGATGGGAACTTATGTAGAAAACTGAGTACTTATTTAGGAATTTCTCCTTCCAGATGACAGGACTCCTGAAGAGGCTTCGGATATAAAGTGCATCACGAGCTAAGATGAACATTAAGATGGGGCTTACCGCGTCATGACCACGTGATCATCCGCTTTCACGGTCATTATTGCTACTCACGTGATCGCTTGCTGCTTAATAAGACCGAATTAAGTGATGTGACGAATAAGATTCATAAAAACGTGTTGTGAATTGTTGTATTTTTTCGTGACAACGTAGTCATGATCCAACCAAACTTACTCACAAAACTTGTAAATACAAATAAAACGTGTTTATTTAAAAAAAATATGTAAAAAACGCTTAAGTTAATTTAAAAAAAATCAAAAAGACATAAAATAATGGTATTCCTCACATTATTCATTACACACAATAATATGGTGAAGATGCTACGTTGACATGAAAAATAGTTTAAGTTTTACTTACCCGCTGACATAGTCTAAAAAGGGAAGTTTTTATTTTAGGTAGATTAAATGCTAAATGCAAACGCACGCGTTGATGGCGAACTATTCAAATCACAATATCGTCAAGATACTTTCTTATACAAATATATATTTCGAGTACGTTCCGTTGCAATTGACACAAATATGTTTACAAGCCGTAATAATACTAAAACAATCGATTCACAAAAATCGTCCCTGCCTAGAGTATCGATCTTTCCGTCCCGAGCCTAAACTTTTTAATAATTCAACGATACTTAATGTCCGCCAATTTTCGAATCGAAGAACAATATTTGTTAAACTTTCAATCGGACATCTCCTAATCGCTTATAGATTACAGTTCTCCGTCTAAAAATGCTCAATATTCGACTCTTTTGAAAATTATAATCAGAAATCGGTTTACAAACGGTTTTTGTGGAAATCTCTTACTTCAGAAGACAGTCTAACCTAGTCACAAGTAAGGAAGCGCTCGCGTTTTGTAGTAGTATAATATTAACATCGGGCAAAAGAGTAAACAACTGGTTCGCGTCATCAGATCACAAAATTATTACTACTACAAACGCAAAAAAAGTCTCCAAACCGACTTTATTGTAAAGTAACTATTTATTTACATTTTATATTTGTACCTGGGTAAAGGGAATATTTATACATTATTTTACGCGAATTTATTAAATGCTTTTTGCAAATAAGCAGAATGCTTTAAATTAAAACAAAACCGTATCAAAATAAAAAGCTTCTTATTAATTTTTTTCCAGACTGCATACAAAATCTGTCAATAATACAATGATATTCTATATATAAATATTATTATAAATTTTTGTATTTTCATATAATTTTTGAAATAAGCACTTTTCACGGTTATTGTTTTTAATTATACATGCTTCTTATATTAACATGTATATTAATATTTTCACGGTTGTAATATAAGGGATTTTAACATTTGAATAAAACAAATATGTAATTTCAATGTTACTTTTCGTTATATTTATTTCTTAAAAAATATCGGACAATATTGATTATCGCAGTAATTTATGTATAAAATCAATATTAAGGGTTTGTAGCATGGCGAAATTTTCGTTCAGCTTATAGAAAGCGTCGTAGTAGATATTTGTTTTAATCAAATGTTTACAAAATATAATATTCTGTGAATTGTGAAGGCTTGTGTATATTGCGTAATACTGTAAGCTTATAAATTCCATATAATCTTTACATCGTATAATTAAGGATATCATAAAACAATTATTCTTTGTTATCGTCATCTAATTTACGAATTTCATTTGGAGGAATTATTAAAATTACACGGTAAGAAAATATTGATATATGTATAAATGTTTAATTTTTCGCAATTTATCAGTAACACATTTAGGCAAATCTAATTTGGATATTAATGTTTTTAGATGAATAATAAATGTTGAAATTTATAGATTATTAATTCAATTAAGAACGCTTAGACTGTGAAAAGTAATTTTAATGTTAGAATAACGCAATAAACCCACGCGCACATTTAGGAACTAATATTTAAATGAAGCATGAGAGTTGAATAACACAATTATATTTTGTATCATAGAATGTCGTCATAGAACAGTTCTATTGACCTGCAGTAATGGTAACTGGTAATTTCAAATTATTACCGACTTCCAACTTTAACTAGAACATTGTTAATTTTATAAAGCTCTAATTCTTCGTTAACATATTTTATATTATCTGACGCTTCTCATAACTTTATTAATTATAAAATACAATTATTTAATTATAGGAGCTACGATACGATTATCGTCAGCATTGTATTCCTTGATACGTAATTCTTACGAGAAATTGAAAAGCAATCACGTTATATCATTAAATTGAAGTCAATTTAATTGTTTCATCTTTATTGTACGCTGTTTTTAAAATTCGCAGATAGCTTTAGCTAAATGTATCGAAAGTTATCACGGAAATTCACGCAAATAATCTCGGTATTGTAAGAAAAGTTAAGTTAAAAAAATATAAATCGAAAAATAACATTTGTGTTAACCGTTGTGACTAATAATTTGGTTGTGTCTAATTCACGACGCTACGCAATTTTGGAAAGTGTATTTTTATCACTGTATATTCTAATCTTAATATGCACTATATTTTATTAATTTCTTTGTGATTCTCGTTCCTTTCGCTGTAAGTTCTCGAATCTCCGCTTTATTGTGATAATTGCTTATTGTGATGTATTAATTCCTAATTATTATAATTGTATGTATATTGTAAATAAGTGGAATGTTGATAAAACCTATCGTTTAGCGCACTATAGAATCTTCTAGAGCAATGTAATATATACAAAGGTCGATATATTTTGAAAAAGTCCACGAGCACTGCCAAGAAGTGGTCATACGCTTTCGTACTAAAATCCTGTCCAGAATAACGTAAGAATAATCGATATAAACTACCTTGGTTCACACGCTTTTTTTAAATGCTATTTAATTTTCAATTATAATATAACAGCTAATAAACAATTTCCGATATCTAGATGTTAACTGCTTTTAAACTCGAAAAATCACTAAAATGTATGCATCATTAGCTGTTTTCTGACCCGTTATATAATCTGTGAAAAACATACATGGTTTTGTGAAAGAGCAATATGTGTTGCTAGTGTTATATAATTACGATACGTGCCTAAAATGGTAACACCAAACGCAATTGCTATTGTAAATAAACGGTAGTGGGCACAATTTACTTAAGCTTAAAATTTGTTCTTTAAAGGAAGTAAATGCGTCGCTTAAGAAGCTGGAAAATGCAGCGTTGCTTAAATAAAAAATATGTTATTAGTAAATACATGTCTGTTTTTTTTTATTTATATATAAATCGATCAGTGAACCGTACACGAAAAATTTTCTATCTTCTCGTAGGGTATGTAACTTATAAATAAGACACTTTTAACTGTTTTAAACGCGAATTTTATTACTTAAACGAATACAAAATTTATTTTAACAACGGACTTACATTTCGGATGCTTTGCAGCAGCCGTGGTCTCGGTCCCTCCGTGCGTTTAAACCGTCAAAAGTGTTTTATTTCAATGTGTACTACTCGCGTTATACACAGATAGTACTTGGTATTACCTTACGCTACTACTACACATGGACCTGCTAAGCCAAATCATAGCAAAGTACTGTCCAAGATATAATAAAACAAAGAAATATAACTATCACAAGACTATGTAAATATAATATTATTTATAATTTTATTCATCTCTTAAAAAAATCAATCTGGCTGTTGTGTATCCATAAGGATATTAATTGATGTCTCTTTACAAGCACCTTAAGCTTAATCTGCTATTTTAGTTTTAGTTATTTAGGTAATTATTTATTTTAGTTGAAATTATAAATATTAAGAGAGCTAAATGGACTTACACGTACAAAATATTACTATGTTAAGAAGTTTCTTATAATAATTAAAACTCATCTACACCTCAGTTAAATAAAACATTTTGATTATCTAAAACGCGTAATATATAAGTTTCTTTATTTTCAACTTCGTCTGATCGTATTATAGCTGCTACATTTCACATTGGGTTATTGTGTACTTCCTTAAAAGTTGAGAAGATTCATTTAATTTGTATAACTAGCGTATACGACTCGTAATTTATCAATGTTGAATTCTTGTTTCTGCTACCCGATGTATATTCTTATGATGAGAATCATTTTAATTCATACATTTAAAAATATTTGTCTATAGTTTTTACAATTGATATAATGGGGATTATATATTTGTTGGTGATAGAAAAAGTTTTATTGGCTTGTTATGTTACGTAAATATGTACGTGTAAGCTCGTTTATAGTATTAAATTCTAATTGTGGCTGATAAATAAAGAAACAATAATAAACCGCAGTTTCGTTGATTTCAACTGTTGCCTTACTTTTTTCTGTAATATAATTATATGAACGAAGATATCTCGTAGTAAATATAATATTTATTGGCTTCAGTAATGTTTTATTTATTCACATGTGACCTTTTCGTGTCTAATATCATTTCGATTGATGGGTAATTAGTTTGAAAGGTCGATAAAAATAACCGCATGACCTTATTTTAACAACAATGTATTAATGAGTGTATCTCCTATTAGAATGATTTAATGGTTTCTATATTTGAAACACATAACAAGATAAAACTTAGTACTGATTTGAATAATATATGAGTAAATTTTGGTTATATACATGACGATCAAACTTAAAGCAAAATATTAAAATATTCAATATTATTAAGAGATCTATTACAATATTTACATAGAATCTAAACTTTTTTAGGCTTGAACATCTTTAAAAATATACATACTTCCTTATTACTTAATCCTACATCAGTAATAACATTATAAATATACGATATTTAAACAGCTGGTTTAGTTATATTTTTTTTGATGCGGTCATAAACAAGAATTTAACATCGTAGATACACATCATTGAAACAATAAATTAATTTTATTAAGAACGTTGACTAGACAGTGTGTAAAATATAGTGATTTCAATATATTTATAAAATCGCCCTCTAGCAAAAATCTTTAGTACTAATACTAATACGATTACGAGTAGAATAGAGATAGACCATAGTTATGCTTTATTTTCACTAGATGGCGCTAATAAATAATAACAAATACAATTATTTTAGGATTTATTACTAATCAATAGATGTTGTAAAAGATATTCAAATTTGATCCTTAGTCACCAATCCAGCTGGACCTTGGCCGATGATTGGTGATAATCCTGCCACAGCAACAGCCTTTAATGGCCTGAAAAATTATATCAAATCACCGTATATATTATCATATAAAATTATAACTAAAAGAGTAATATATGGAGGACTTAAGCTTATAATTGTTAAATCAAACTTATCTAAAAAAGCACCTCCATTTAAATTTGTGTCTGTATTAACACATAGATGGCGCTATACTAACTTAAATCCAAGTTCCTCTGTGGGCACCCCAAGCTTTGCTAACTTGGCTTCATACGTCGCCAGAAGATCGTCGTGGGCCTTTCTCAACCTTGCTGCTTCGTATCTTAGGTCCTCTACTTGCGTATCCTTTAGTTTAAGTAGTTCCTGTTAAGTGAATACGTATGTATAATCGAAGTTTTAAAAAAATTGCGTGTAATCTAATAAATTGTTTGTGTTCCAAAATACTTAACTAATTTCAGAATATTTTTATCAATTAATCATACATACTACTAAACTATTTTCAATTTATTATGTATAAGTATGTTGTATTCAATATAATAAATAAACGTATCTTATGTGTGCCATTGATAAAAATTGCAGAAAACATCATACTCATTAAGGTCAGGTACTCACATGCATTTCCCTTGGTCCCAAATCCCTAGCCTCCATATTCTTCAACTTCGCCTCCAATAACGCTGTTTTCAATGACGCTCGTTGCTGTACTTCTAGAACGGCTCGTGAGAATCTAAACAATTTAGATACTATGTAAGTCAATGTTTGTGTTTAAATATTTTCTTTTTGGGAAAAGGGGGGGGGGGGGGGGGGGGGGGGGGAAGGGGGGAAAAAAAAAAAAAAAAAAAAAAAAAGAGAAAAAGGGGAAAAAAATTAAAAAAAAAAAAAAAAAAATTTTTGACCGCCCCCGGGGGGGGGGGGGGGGGGGGGCCCCCGGGGGCGGGGGCCCCGGCCCGCCCCCCCCCCCCGCGGGGGGGGGGGGGAGGAAAAAAATAAAAAAAAAAAAGAAAAAAAAAAAAACGGGTTTAAAACCGTAAAAGGGTTTTATTAAAAAATTTTCTTTTGTTTTTCTCTGCTTATAACATGTGTTATGTGTGTAGTGCTTTAGCACTAGTCAATATTTCGTTTAACAAAGTGCATTTACCTAGATTTGAGCTCATTCCTTTCCGTCTGCACTCTGTCAAAACGCACCTGCAACACTTCGTATTCCCATTTTAATACTTCGAACTGTTTTTCCAGTGACGCCAATTGTTTTGTTTTTGCCTGAAATAAATCAGAAATGAAGCCGACTATGATTTATTTAAGTATGGCCCACAGTTGCAGATGTTTTACAGTCCTTAACCACGGTTCTAAAGTATTACTAACAGCTAAAGCCGCTTTATCACGGTCATAGTTGGACATCTGCCGTTTTAACTCCTTGTTATCTATTATAGCAGCTTCCAATGGCTCACGAAGACTCTTACTCTCAGCAACAGCATCTCTTGCAATTTTCTCTGCCCTCTCTTTCACCTTTTGCATGTCTTCCATTTGCTGTTTCAAGCTGCTTATTAAACCTGTAATATAATTTATAATGTTTGGCAACATTATAAAAGAAGTTATGTTTATAAGTTCTACAATAATTAAATAATAAAAATAAGCAAAATCATATGAAGAACAATAGTGGAATAGCTTACCCAAATTATTTAAAGTGATATCATTGTAATAGTTTTTCAGATCGTTAAAAGCTCTTTCATGATGAGCTATGAGTTCAGACAGTTGTTTGTTCTTCCTCTCCTCGACCTCTGCTATTTCTGTTCTGTGCTTTATTGTTAGTTCTGTTTTAGTTTCTTGTAGCTTCTTCTCAGCCTTATCTTCAATCTGTCTCGCCCTTTCTTCAAAGTCTGCCCTCGTCTTCGAGAGCTCTTCTGCATGTATTAGCTTTGCGCGTCTTAATTCATCTTGCGCAGCTAACATTTTCTCTCTTATTTCCTGACGCAACATTCTCTTATCGTAAAGCAGCTCTAACTCTTGTTCTGTGTGCTCCTCCTTAGCTGCCTTTAACGCTACTAGATTTTCAGCTCTCAATGCTGCTGCAGCTGCTTGTTGTTCATATTTTAAATGTTTTATTTTCTGTTTTTCTGTTTCTAAAAGTGCTTCATTCTCCTCTTGCGCTTCTTCAGTAGCTCTTTCTCTGTTTCTTAGTTCCGCTTTTGCTTCTTCCAGCTGTTGCCTCGTTATTTCCCAAAAGGTTCTTATCTTGTCTCTTTCTAGTTGAAAGTAATTCCTTTCTTCTCTTTCTTTATCGAGCTCTTCTTTTACTTTTAGGGTGAATTGCTCGAGTTTCTCTCGCGTCATCTCGGAGGTGTCCACCCCATCGATAATAATTGCTTTAAAAAAAAGATGGTTACTATTCAATTTACTGTTTTGTATGATACAAAAAATATTATATGTAGTTATATTGATGTTACCTGGTGCTTTTTTCCCACCACCTTTCCCTCCTTTTGGCGGCTAAAATATAAATTGAGAAGTTTATTATACGTCATAGAAGTAGATTATTACTTAAGTAATAAGTGTATGCTAATAAATAATACAACAATACTGTGGTGTATTTCAAAATGAATATCGATTAAAAAGAAAAAATAAAAGACATGAACCATTTACGAACTAAAACGACAAACAATATGCTATGTCACTTACCATGTTGAATATTTACTTATTTACAAGTAAATGTAAATAATATATATTACAAAATTCTCCGTTTTGTTATTTATGTATTATCATTGTAAACAAACATAGGTAACTATGGCAACCGTCATAGATTAGGGACTGTATCCACAGATTGTATAACATAAGGTAAACGCAGAACTGAAAACTTTTCACGAACATGTTTTTCTAAATATTATTTTTTTTATAATAATGGACATAAAGCTCTATATAATTTAGATACTGAATATTTTGATTTGTCAGTGCTTTATGCAGATTTGAGTCATGCATCATAAATAATTATAACATACTTACATATTATATGATGAACAAAGACGTTGACGATTGACGTTTATGGGAAAGGGGGATCATTTACCTACCTCACTTATGGTCGCGAATTATTAAATCGATGACAAATTTAAAAAGGACAAAAGCAAGACGTGCGCTTTGGTGTAGTGTGTAACTAATGATTCGTCAATCATTAGGTCGTGGGTTCGATCCCCACCGGGTCCAACATTTTTCTAATCAATTTATATTTTTTTCTCAAAACACGACGGACTTCGTTGGAAATCCGGATATGTGGTAGGAATATCGCAATTCCGTCCGGATCACGAAGCACCTTACACAGATGAAAAGCCAAGTTTAATCGCGTTTCGGTTTCCGTCTGCGGATTTCAGTATGTCCCACATACGTCGACAGCGCATTTTATCTATCATCATATGACTGTGCATAGCAATTATATTTTTCATTGACATAATAAAGAATAAAACCTTCATAAACAATCTTATACAGAAACGTAATTTTCCCTTCCTGCCAAGAGCTGTTTGTCACATACTATACTGATAGAAGTCACACAAAAAACCTCACTCATATGAAATCCTTCGTGCCAAAATGTACAATATTGAATAGAGATAAATCTTATATCCCGAATCATTTCCAAAATGCTAAATGAGGTGTTCAGTGTCGTAGTATACAGTGCCAGCTTCATCAGCCTAGTTCTGATAGATTATCTCTTGGGAAATGGTTTCGTGGATATGTTTCAACGGCTGGCCTGCAAAATCATTTGCTTTATCGGTCGAGAGATACGCAAACAGGAGAAATTGGATTTGTCAGAAAATGATAGCGTTATTAGTCTACCGTTTCTTTTGACTGAGATCGCCTTACTGGTTTTATCAATAGCTGTAAGTTTCAAATTCTGTGGGAACAATACGTCTTACTTCTAAGGTATAATCCGTGCATTCGGGGAGAAAGTTTCTAGTAAATTGTTTGTAAGTGTTAAGGTTGAAATGAATGCGTGAGAGGTGCATTGATGGTATCAATGGGGTGAACAAAATCGACGATGATGTTACCTAAATTGGTTAGAACAACAGCACGGAAAGCTCTGAAAATCTCGCCCGTGACCACATTTCGATTTTTAATTTTAAAATGTTTCGTATTAAAAGTAACTTTTTGAGATTTTTCATTTATTAAGACATGTTTATTTAATATTGCAAAGTTGAGGCAAAGATCATACAAATTACTGTTTCGTTGAAACTCCCCCGTCTCCCTGTGACCACGGCTGTTGCAAAGCATCCGAAACGTCGGGCCGAAGTTAAAAATCATTTTCAAATAAGTTTAACTAATATATCTGTAATATATATGTATTACTCGCCTAAACTATAGACAGTATTTCGTTGAAACTCTTTAATCGGCAAAAGCTTATGAAGTTATGTTTTACATGAAGTTTATTAAAAAAATATTCAATTCCAAGCAGCGTTATCTCCTATGAAGAGTGAAGGTAGATAACAATCCTTGCAAGAAGTTTTTATAACTGAATATTGATAGGGCCATTAAAGTGCGCTTTTATATGAGTATGTATGAGGTATGAACTATGGGCTCTAATTTATTTATTTATAATTAAAATTACATATTAAACTTGTTTATAGAAGTTTTTGGTGAACAATAATATTAAACCTTCACGATGGAATTAATGATATAATAACAACATGTTTTAGTTCCTAAAAAAATACAAGCAAATGCGATTTGGTGATAAAATTGACGAGCTTCTGAAGGAAAGTCGGGAGGCGCTGAGGGAGACAAATGAATTTCTCGAAAAATGGAGATTAAGAAGGGTAAGTTTAGACGACGATGTTACAAGAAAAAAAAAAAAAAAAAAAAAAAAAAAAAAAAAAAAAAAAAAAAAAATTTTTTTTTTTTGGGGGAAAAAAAAAAAAAAAAAAAAAAAAGCAAAAAAAAAAAAAAGGGAAAAAAAAAAATTTTTTTTGGGTTTTTTTTTTTTTTTTTTTTTTTAAAAAAAAAAAATTAAAAATTTTTGGGGGTTTTTCTTAAAAAAAAGGGAAAAAATTTTAAAATACGGAGAAAAACTATTCCAAAAACTGTTCGGCATTTATTGAAATAAACATTTAACTGTAATATTTGCTAGTTTCTTCAAGTACCAGTATGAAAAAAACAGATGATGCTAGCTAAGTAGATTCGATTCACATTAGGGACAGCTTCTATCTTCAGTCCCTTGTGACCACAGCTACTGTAAAGCATACGAAATATCAGGCTGAAGTTAAAATAAATTGTAGATAAGTTAAGTAATACATTTCGCGTTTTAATTCGCTAGAAGTTATTTTTATTAACGTGTAACACACGTGTGTACGTACATATTATATACAGTCGTGTAAACTACTTAACTGCTTGGTATCCTAATGTTTTTTTTGTTTTTTATAGCTCAATTGGCAAACGGCTTCTGACTACACCTATTTGGATGACGAGCCACAGGAAATTAAACCGTATAAATTAGAAGTTCCAATTCTGCATATGGCTATAATAGACGTAAGTTTATTAAGTCTTCAGTATAGTAAAGTTAATTTCGTCGAGAGACATAATTTTGTTTTTTGTGATTCCGTCTAGATGTGACAGGCTCATTGGTATACAATCGAGCTATCTACGGTTGATTATTAGAGGGTTCGACCCGCACAGAGTTCAATATTTCTACTAAACAATCTTTAATTTTTGTTGGTCTTGTCTGGACTGTGTCTGTCTGGAAGTCTGAATATTAAATGGGTGGTAGGAATATTGCGTCCAGGTCACAAACCACCGTCCACAGATGAAAAATCCGTCAAGTTTAATCGCGTATCGGTTCTTGCCTGGTAAACAAAGCATTCGACTTGGTTTTTGGGCTTGGCCTATAACCAGTCGACTAACTATCTATTGCTTATGATTGCTTAGATGATGTTTAAACTAAAGCTATTTCTGATGATAAAATCAGCAAACGTGATTGGAAATTGGCGCCATACTGATCAAGAACCAAACCATCTGTTGATAAAGAGAAAGTCCTTAACATATACTTTCTTTTTCTATATCAGACTGTCGGTACTATGAGAAGTCAGCCAGAAAGAGGTGACGCTGGAGACACGATCAACATAACAGATTCCACTCTCCTGTCGGTTACTTCATTGCTCGATGACGATATCGAATCGATAGTTGCGCCGGCGAGCGATGAACATATCGATGAATCGATGGAGAAATCGATTGCGGAGTTCAAGGATCGATACTTGTGGGACGTAGTTGAAGAAGACGAGTGATCCGTATGTATTTATGTGCAGCCTCTTGTTTGTAAATTATGACGATGTGTCATTTGTGACGTCAAAGTTTACGTAATAAAAATATAAGCATAGCACACATTGTATTATTAAAGACTATTGAGGCTATTAAAGGTACATACATACATACAACAAAAAACAAAATTCAATTAAAATGGAGGAAAATTTGCAACTATCTTAGGCGAATACGAATTTGTACTATTATTTGTGTAAGAATTATGTATAACAATTTTCGGTCAATGTGCTCTTGTAGATAACCATTTTTAGACTATAAAATTATAAATAACTTAAGTTAAAATTGCAGCTAGGCTACTCTGCCTCTAGTCGCCTCATATATGGATTTAATTACTATAAAGTTATCGTTGAAAGCGAGAGACCTCCGTTCTGTCGAAAATGTTCAATTGTGTTGTACGAGAGGTAGCAAAGAAACAATAGCTGACTGATCGATCCTTAAATGTATAATCTTAGTATACGTGAAAGAGTAGGAGAAGAGTAAGAGAAACAGAAACTTTATTACAGATTTTTGAATGTCCAACTGAAACATAATGTTTTCCCGGCATTTTAACTCAGACCGCAATGCTAGGCAACCATTGACCTATGCAGGCGGTCTGTATTTATTATATTAATTTCTGTTCTGTTCAAAGTGCCGTAACACATGAGAGGGCCTAATATGTAAGCTTTTGCACAAAACCGCGTGATACAGCTAGTTAATCATAAAGACACGTCAAAAGCAGTAATCCCACAAAGCGTCCGCACACTTTTAGTGTCAATTCGCAAATACCAGTAATCCGCTGATATTAATTTAACACCCCACTACACCTTGAATTTTCAACCTTATTGCTTTTGTAATAAAGGCGGTCGCCGTTTCACAGACTTGAATAGTTTTAACTAAACATTTTCAACCTTATTACTTATGTGGTAGAGGTGATATTATTATCATCGTTGCTTTGATGTGATTAACTGCGGGGTGTCCAATAATATGAGATATAATTAAAATGGTAGCTGACAAAAATCCTAATCTCTTGTTGCTTAAGATGCTTAATGCTTAGTGTACAACTGTGCTTATTTATATTCTGTGGAACACAAATTATTATGTGAGTGTATTTAGAGACCGTAAGTCATTGAATACATAAAAATCATTAATATAATAAATAATATTTAACATTTGTATGTTTTTTTTAATGATAGAGATTCTTCTCTATCATTAAAAAAACATACAGACATTGTACTGTCTATAGTTTACGTGAGTAGTACACATTTAAATAAAACACTTTAACGGTTTAAAACGCGATATATTAGTAGACGTGGTCACGGGGAAACGATGCTCCCCCGTGACCACGGCTGCTTCAAAGCATCCGAAACGTCGGGCCGAAGTTAAAAATCATTTTCAAATAAGTTTAACTAATATATCGCGTTTTAAACCGTTAAAGTGTTTTATTTAAATACAGACATGGTGTTCACTTGGTGGCGAACACAAGCGTATAGCACTTAGACAAGATGCGCTGTTGACCTATTTTGGCTTTGGATATTCGGAAATCCACAGACTGAAACCTACCGCCTATTTAATATCCAGGTTTCCAGACGAAGTCCAGAATGTCTCAGTAAAATTATAAATTCATCGAATCTACGACCCACTGACCATTAGCCAAATACTGCTCCATAACCAACGAGCCCGCCTAAATCTTCTTATCTTTTTAGAAACGTACGGAAAAATCTACGAAATATGCACAATGTTTTCTTAGTACGTTTCCACTCACATAGACAACGCGGAAAAGTTTTTTTACACAACATACTAATAAATAGCACAACAAATAATTGTTTTTTTATTTACATGAAAGTTTTTCCGTAAGATCAACATAACATAGATTAAATTAGCTTTTACTGTGTAAAAAAAATGTATTTCTTCCCCATACGAACCCCGCACTACGCTGCGACGGAGTTGATCAAATGAAGCGTGATTATTCTCTCTATTTTTTATTCAACGATTAGACGATACCCGCAACTTGGAAGGGTAATAATATGCTGCAACTCAAACAAAAGACACGTGCTTTTATACAGTAATATCGGTGATCATAACCCTCTATCCTTCAAGTAATTATGGTTTGATGTACTGCTTGGACGTGCTAGGCCAGGAGCTGCTGCACTATTGACAATGTTTGAGGGATGAGAAATTAGGGATCCTGTTTTTTCGTTGAACTAAAAGGGAACTCTTACTTAAATGTTGCCTGGCCTATTTAATAATTTGACAAATAATAAAAGGCCCCAACATTTTCATTTTTGTCATTACAATAAGCAATATAACAATAATTTTACCAAATCCAACGTTGTCATACAAAAATTTGACAATCGTTAGTCGTCAAAGTGAAAAATAGGCGAAACGTTGGTTGGCAAGTGATAATCGGTCAAAAAAAATTCGGCGAAAAGGAAGAGATCCGATAAATTAGTATTCTGTGGGTCAATGTTTTTAGCCTTTTGCTTGATATATGAACATTTGCTAGATAATTCGGTGACAAAGATATTACATGTTGTTAAATAATGTAGAAGAACGCCATCAATTAAATGATAATAAAATTGTTTGTAGTAGTTACATATATTTCACTAGTGCAGATAACTTAAAAGAATATAAAAGAGAGTTCCATACCACAGATCACATAACTCGCTGTTGATATTCTATGAAACAATACTGCAGTAATACAGGTATAATGTATCTTTCGTGACATGATAAATCTTATAGTCAGCTCTTACACTAGTTTAAAGATATGTGCTGCGTATTGTGGCCCGTGATAGATGGCCCACGCCTATCGGTTGGGAAAAGCAATCACCGTTTAACGTCTACCGCGGTCCACCCTTTGGGAAAGAGTTACAAATCGATTAGTAATCTATCTTTGTACAACGTCCGTTCAAAATAAACTTTTTGCCGGACATCTTTGTTACGGATACCTTGAACATAATAAATTCTATATAAAATGGGAGATAACTAAAGTTTCTACAGGTCTCGAACTCGCCTCGGCGGGATTCTCAACCGGAACTTATGCATTTTGGCGCAAAGTTTAATGTGGATGTTAAAACTTCTGTGTTAAGGTAAAATATAATTAATACAATTAATTCTGGGTTCATTGAACTTAAGAATTTTTTATGATAGAGGAGGACATATGGGGGTCACTCGATGGTAGATAGGTACAAGGTAGGTTAAATATACCATTTAAATAAGCTGTCAACCTTTTTTGGCTTGGTATAGCCTTGGTTCAGACTGGACGGCTTTTTCATTTGAGGACAGCGGTTCGTACCCGGACGGAATTTAGATTTTCCTAGCACACATTTAATATCCAGATTTCCAGTCGAAGTCCAACATGTCTCAAAAAATTATACATCGATTAGAAGATTCTTGGACCTTTCTTGGACTTGGGGGTCTAACCCACAACTCGTCGATTATTAGGCACATTTTGCTATACTTCATTTTAGTTGCATACACCTTTATTTGTTTTTTTACATAAACAAAGCTATCATATAACCTAGACTACGATGGACTAGATATATTTCTATGTCTGCTTGCCACAGAATCGATATAGGCAGACATTATTGACAAGCAAGTCATTAATCATCGCAGATTATCTTCAGTTGCGGCTAGATTTTGGCGGACACCACAAAATATGACTAATGACTCTCTCTGTTAACTGCAATGGTTTTGTTATTTCGTATTTTGTTAGTATTAACAAAACTACATACCTATATAATATAGGTACTCATGTTAGATTTAAAAAACAACAATTATTAAATAAATGACTGTCACAAAAACAACACAACAGCAAATGTAATGTATAAACGAAACAAATCGTTATTGAGGCCGGAAGTTCGATCCTGAACATATCTAAAAAACTCTGTATGACGCCTAACACTATGACGCTTTCTCACCTATAATAGAAAACATAATTATTAAGAAATCCACTTAATCGAGCGTTGTACGTTATAATTTATTAATTTCTTAGGTATAAGAAGAAATGTCTCTTGTAATAGTAGTGTAATGTCTGTAGTTTAATCGAGAAATATAAATTGAAATGAAACGGTTTTAAACGAAATATATAAATTAACTTATTTAAAAGGGGTAAACGGGATTTCACACTTTCACAAACACATTATTATGTATTGTGCTCTAAATTTCGTTTGGTATTAAAATACGTTTATATTAAATACGTAGTGTAATTGTAATCATATTTAAAATAAGCATGGGTATTATGCGTGATCGTCTTAAACGGGTCTTTCTGTATTTTGATCAAATAATTTAATATTAGTTTTATTCGTCTCATCTGCCGTTAATCAGACTAGTCGTCCAGACGGCTACTTCAGTGATATGTAAGATTTCAAAAGAAAATCACTTACCGTATCAGTTTAAAGCACCCGAGATGACCCCCCTTCATTTATCACTCAACTCTTTTTGTCCCTTCTATCTGTGCTTCTATTCACTTTTTGTGCAAGATTAAATTTCGCGGTAGCTCCCGTACCATTAATGGCGACGACCAGTTTTAAAGAGCTCTCTACGATCAAAAACCTGCTGGATATGGGGAGACTGCACGGCGATGGATGGGTCAACGTATGTTGGACGAATGGGACAGGGCGACTTTTTTATTTTTTAACAAGTCTGGTTGCTGTAACGCTGATTATTATTTGTAGGTTGACATATGATGTATTATGTAACATAAAACTAAAGATATTATATGTATATACATAATTATTATATTTGTTCTCGCAAACCTCCTTATCTCTATAAATTATAGCTCTTACCCATGACCTCGTTCTTGTTAGTCAATCTAAAAAATTAGACATATACCTATATATATTTTTTCTATAAATTTTTGGTGTCTTGAACCGTTTTTGCAGCGCATGCAATGACTTTTCCCGTTTTTGCCACATATCGCACTGTTACTTCGCTCCTATTGGTTGCAGCTTCCTCGATAAATGCTCTTACGAACGCAAAAATCATTTTT